TTTTTAACATGGAATTTGGTCATTTCTTTGCAGTTATGTTGAATATAGTTTCCTGATTTTTCACTTGTGTTCAAACACACGTGTAATGTGTTGAGAAACTAGGATTCTAAATAATAGTGGCATCTGTCTAGTAGAGGCATCACAGTTAAGTTCCTGATCCTTCTGCATTAGTCACTTTGAATCCCTGGGATTACAGGCGCATGCCACCATGCCTGGCCTTTATTTCTCACGTTTCCAACAGATTTTAAAGGAATGGGTTTTGAGAGACCAAAAACAGAAGGCAGAGAAGTATGATAGAAAATAAATACAAATGTAAGCCGTTTTGCTAATTCTTTTATAACCACAACAAATTAGTACAGAGAATGCCCTGTGAAAAATGCATTTTCAGATTTAGGTGTTCCCTTAGTAAAGCCGAAGATGTCAGTCTCTAGTATTTGGAATTTAGGCTGCAGTCCTTGTTTTTGGGCGGATCACTGCGCGTGTGTCACAGTTCTTGCCTTTAGCCAGGTTTGAACAGAAGAATGGCTGCTTGGCCCAGGGAGAAGTACAGTAGGTGAAGTGTTTGGTTTCTGGTGTTACGTAACTACTGAAGTTCCTCCCCGCTATGCAGTGCCACATGAGGTGGGCCTTCTTGTCAAACTCCTTGCTGTGGGCCTCAGTGCCCATTTCTTCCTTTCTTTCTTTTTTTTTTTCTTTCTTTTTTTTTTTTTTTTGAGAGTTTTTTGCTATAGGGTAGTGTACTCGCCAGAAAGAGACAGAGCACAAAATGCGAGAAATCACCCCCCGGGGGGACAGCCACCATGCTACAATCCCTTCCCCATTCTCCTCTCGTGATCTTGGGCATGCACACACACATGCCCAGCAATGCCCGTTTTACATTTCTCCAGCACTTGGGTCACACACTCTCCTGAATCCTGTTGCAGCTTCTCTGACACATCAGCATTTTTTATTACAGCCTTTCAGTTGCATGTGGTTACCCTGGAACAGAGGCTGGCTGACAGCAGTGGTCTCCTTTGGGAGGAGGTGCTAGAACAGCTCAGGCCCAGCAGAACCACCATCCCTTTACATTGGACTGAAAATCGAGCCCAGGTCTCCTTTGTGATTCCATCTTGGGGAGAAAAGCATTTTAGGAGAGTGTGCATTTTAGGAGAGTGTGCCAGGAGGGCTGAGCCCTCAATTTGAACTTTTAAAAACTTTTTTAAAATGTGACAATAATGTTCAATCTCAGCTAATTTTCATTCTTTCTGCCTTCTGTTTTTTGGGGTGCACAAACAGAAAAGTTAGGGCTTAATTGTCTTATGCTACAGCAAGTCTGCTTGGGCAGACCAGAGCAGGTGTGGCAAATCACAGATCCTGTCCGGGACATGGGCCTTTGGCATTCTCTGTTCTTTGATCCTGAGTCTGCTTATTACTTCCTGACTGCAAGGTAGATGCCTTATCTTCAGGTCTCAGGTCTATGTTGTGAGAAGAAAGGTGTAAACCTGTCAAATCTGTCCTGTTCATGAGGAAAGGGCAGAGCTTTCTCAGAAGTCCTATTCTGGAGAACTCTGAATATGGCCAGTATGGTCATGAACTGGCAAACCAGAGGTTGAAGATGACACTTGGGTCAGTGGAGTATCATTAGGCTATTGTGGTAGCTGGATGTTTTATTATGCACCCCGTTTTTAAAAAAGGATCAAATTTGTTATCTTTGTAATGATACTTCTTTCCTGGCCTATTTAGTCTTTTCTGCATGTTTTTCATTTTTTGTGAAGTCATGTCTGCCACCTTTTCCTTTGTGATAGTTCACCCATATTGAGTTAAAAGTATTGGTCATTGGAAAAGTCGCGATGTGTTTTTCTATGCGACACAGTACTAACAAAAAAATGTTACCATCTGGTGTTGTGGAAGGCTCATTCTCTGAGAAGCCTAATGTAAGATGGATTTACATATATTGTGATGAGCAGATATGGCTTATTTGGTAGTGTTTTTGGAGTTCGTTGAGGTGATCTTTGTACTCCAGTATATGTTCAATGTTAGAAAAATGAATCTTTTTCGTTGTATTGATCCATATTAGATAAAGTTCAGTATGTTACTAAAATAAGCCTTATCACTACTTGTTTTCTAAGAAAGTGTCTAAGGTTGAGTGTCTTCATTGTTGATTTAGTTTTTCCTCCTTCAATCAATTTTTGCTTTATACAGTATATCTCAAAGTGATATTATTATGGCTCAGAGATTCTTGGTGGGTCTGTCACTCCTTGGTGTGTTTCCTTTATCAGTGTAAAATCTTTGTTTGATATTTTCTATCTTGAGTTCTGTATTATCTGTTGTTTATATTTTGCCTTTACTTTGGATATTTGCATAACACATTTTTGTCCTTTATTTTCAATCTTACAGTGTAATTTTATTTTATGTATACCTTTTTGCGCATAACATCTAGTGGAATGCTTTTCTCCCTGGATCTACATTTTTCTCTTTTAATTGAGACCTACATTATTTGAGTTTGGTTCTGTCATTTTATTAAGATGTTATCTACTTACTATATTTGAGCTTTTTTTGTTTTTGCATTACAATTTTTTTCCTGTGTGATTTTAAAATTACACATTATTTTCTGCTTGTAGTTGATTTCTTAAAAAGGTTTTTGTCATAGTGCATGTGCTTGCCAGAGAGAGAGAGACAGTGAGAGGGAAAGTGAAAAGTCACCTCCCAGTGGGGATGACCACCCTGCAGTCCCTTCTCCATTCTACCCCACAGGATTTTGAGCACGCATGCACACGTGCTCGGCATGATTTTCAAGCCACCAGGTTCGGGACTGGAGCTGTGGTTGGTCATGTACAGGAGGCCAGGGTCTTAACTACCATGCCACCTGCTGGCCCCTGTAGTTGACTTTTTTTAAAATAAGCATTCTTTTTATTTAATTTCATTTATCATTATTGTTCTTTTCCAATGTGCTATAGAACATGTGCTCTAGAGAGAGAAAGCAAGCCGCTAGGTCTGGGACTTGAACCTCAGTCGGCCATGTGGGAGTCCAGCACCTCAACCACCATAACACCTGCTGCTCCCTGTAGTTGTTTTAAGGTATATTTTTAAAATATTTCTTGTGCTGAGCCTAGAGTGTTCTAGTGTTCTTTTCTCTACCCTACCCAATTTCCACTGGAGGTTCTTTTCCTTTGGTAGCTTGATTATTTCTCTTATTATACTTAACATTGTAGTTTTCAGTGTGTCTCTCCAGTAGAGATACACACATTGGCACAGGTGCTC